GCTAGTGCAACTGAGGAACTCAATTTTATTTAATTTTTAATAGCTGTATACACGTGCACATACACATTCTAATTAATATTCTAATAAGAATGAGTAATGTTTTTCTTACTTTTTTTTTTTTTGAGACGGAGTCTCGCTCTGTCACCCAGGCTGGAGCACAGTGGTGTGATCTTGGCTCACTGCAACCTCCACCTTCCAGGTTCAAGCGATTCTCCTGCCTCAGCCTCCTTTGTAGCTGCGATTACAGGCATGCACCACCACGCCCAGCTAATTTTTGTATTTTTAGTAGAGACAGGGTTTCACCACCTTGGTCAGGCAGGTCTTGAACTCCTGAAGTCATAATCCGCCCATCTCGGCCTCCCAAAGTGTTGGGATTACAAGTGTGTGCCACTGGGCCTGGCCCTCTTCCCTTTTAATAATACGTCATGGCCATCTTCCCACATCACTACATATTGATCTACTTTATTATGTTAATGTAGCTTGACTATTCCATTTAGGAGGTATTACATTTTATTTAACCAATCCCCTATGGGTAAATATTTAAGGAGTTTCCCCTTTTTTTGTTACTGTAAAGAATGAGCATATCTGTGGGTCTTAGGGACAACATGACCATGACCCTACAAGGGTGCCTTCTCATCAGAGGAACTTCTGAATCAAAAGGCCCAAAATTTCTTAGTTATCACTCTAACACCCACCCCCACCGCAGCCTAGAAATAGCATTGCAGAAAAGATATTGTGAAGCGTAATGTTTATAGCTCTGAAGGGTGTACAGCCACAGGTGTCTATCACTTGGGGCTTGGGGGGAAGATAAACCCTAAAATCAGTGATCACTCTGCCATTCCCTCACTGTGGTAGGCAGAAAAACATCTCCCCACCCTCCACAAAGATACATTCACTTGTCACCAAAACCTGTGAATATTACTTTATATGGCAAAAGAGGAGATTCAGGTAAGAATCTTGAGAAGAGAAGCTGGTCCTGGATTATCCAGGTGGGCCATAAATGAAATCACACGTGTCCTTACAAAGGGGATGCACAAGGTACTAGAGACGGAAGAGGAGAATGTAAGGGTTATTGCCGAGTTTAAAATGAGGAAACTGAGGCCAGTATAAGAAAATGAAATGCCAATTTATTTAGCTCCCGGGCGAGGTTCCATGGTCCCGAGGAAAGGGGCCAGGGAAGTCGCACCAACTTCCTGGGGCGTGGGGTTTTTATGGCTAGGAGGAGCAAGCAACAGCTGGGTGCTCTGATTGACTCCAGGGGAGCGGGATTGAGACGGGGCGGGTTTTCCGGTGGGAGAACCGGCCAGGAGCCTTGCATCAGCTGGAGCCTTCCAGGGGAGCCCTGCGGCGGAGCTAGGTGCCGAGTGCAGAGGTGGGCGTGTCCAACCTCCCGACGAGGCAACCGGCCCTACACAGAAGACACAGACACACGTAGAGAAGAAGGTGTTGTGAAGACAGAGGCAGAGACCGGAGTGATGCAGCCACGGGAGCTGACGAGAAAAGAAACAGATTCTTCCCTAGAGGGAGTACAGCCCTGCTCCACCTGAATTCTGCACTTTAGCCTCTAGGACCGTGACAGAATAAATTTCTGGTGTTTGAAGCCGTGAAAGCTGTGTTCATTTGTTATAGCAGCCGCAAGAAACTAATAAACTCACTGTGTGGCCGTGGACACCTCTGAGCCGCAGCTTCTACATCTGAAAAATGGGAATAGAAGAGTTACCTTGGAGAATTGTAATGACTAGAAAGATTTTCTATGAAGTACTTTGCATGGTTCCTGGAACTGTACAGGTGCTAGACACAGGTGCAGTGGAGGTTGAGAGAAAAGGCACCTGAATCAGGCTGGTGACATCACTTCCTGTAGGGCATTGAGCAGGTAATTTAGGATTTGCAAGCAATTGGATGAGATGACTCAAGTAGGGCTTAGAATACTCCTTGAACACAGCAAGTGCTTGATAAATGCTACCTATGGTTTCTTTTATGGCCTCCATTACTAATACCCCTGTATTAGCCTGTTCAAACTACTACAAAACAAAGCAAAACAAAACACCCTGCATGGCTTACACAACAGAAATTAATTTATTTTCTTACAGTTCTGGAGGCTAGAAGTCCAAGATCAAAGTGTCAACAGGATTGATTTCTTTTGAGGTTTCTCTCCTTGATTTACAGATGGTTGCCTCATAGCCATGCCCTCACATGATCTTTTCTCTGTGTACTCATGCCCTTGATGTTTCTCTTTATGTCCAAATTGCCTCTTCTAGGACACACATGCAAAAATGGAAAGACATTCCACGTTCACGGAATGAAAGAATCAATATTGTTAAAATGTCTGTACTATCTAAGGCAATCTATAGATTGAATGCACCACAACCAAAACACTAATGACATTCTTCACAGAAATGGAAAAAAAAATTCTAAAATTTATATGGAAGCACAAAAGACCCAGAATAGGCAAAGTCTTCCAGAGCAAAAAGAACAAAACTGGAGGAATCACATTACCTAACTTCAAGTTATACTACAGAGCTGTAGTAACTAAAACAGCATGGTACTGGCGTAAAAACAGACATACAGACTAATGGAGAAGAACAGAGAACCCAGAAACAAATCCATACATTTATAGTGAACTCATTTTTGACCAAGGTGCCAAGAACATACATTGAGGAAAGGATAGCTTCTTCAATAAATGGTGCTGGGAAAACTGGATATTCATATGCGGAAGCATGAAACTAGACCTCTGTCTTATATATAAAAATCAAATCAAAATAGGTTGAAGACTTAAACCTAAGACCGTATACTATGAAACTACTAAAAGAAAGCATTAGGGAAACTCTCCAGGACATTGGACTGGGCAAAGATTTCTTGAGTAATACACCTCAAGCCCAGGAAACCAAAGCAAAAATGAGCAAATTAGATCGCATTGAGTTAAAAAGTTTCTGTACAGCAGAAGATACAAATCAACAAAGTGAAGAGACAATCCATAGAATGGGAGAAAATATTTGCAAACTATCCTTCTGATAAGGAATTAATAACCAGAACATATAAGCTCAAACAATGCTTTAGGAAGGAAATATAATAATCTGATTTGAAAATGGGTAAAATATCTGAATAGGCATTTCTCAAAAGAAGACCTACAAATGGCAAACAGGTATATGAAAAGATGTGCAACATCATTTGATGTGATTTCATTCTGTGTCTCCACCCAAATCTCATGTCGATTTATAATCCCTGCCTGGCGCGGTGGCACGTGCCTGTAGTCCCAGCTACTCAGGAGGCTGAGGTGGAAGGATTGCTTGAGCCCAGGAGTTCTGGGCTATAGTGCATTATGCCAATTGGGCGTCCGCACTAAGTTCGGCATCAATATGGTGACCTTCCAGGAGTGGGGGACCACCAGGTTGCCTAAGGAGGGGTGAACTGGCCCAGGTTGGAAACGGAACAGGTCAAAACTCCCATGCTGATCAGTAGTGGGATCACGCCTGTGAATAGCCACTGCACTCCAGCCTGGGCAACATAGTGAGACCCTGTCTCTTAAAAAAGAAATAAATAAATAAATAATAAATAAATAATTAAAAAAAGAATTATAATCCCCATGTGTCAGGAGAGCAAACTGGTGGGAGGTGATTGGATCATGGGGCAGCTTCCTCCATGCTGTTCTCATGAAAGTGAGTGAGTTCTCACGAGATCTGATGGTTTTAGATCATCAGAGTGTGGCTATTCCCCCATCCCTCTCTCTCTCTTCCGCCCACCATGCTTCCCCTTTATCTTCCACCATAATTGTAAGTTTCCTGAGGCTTCCATAGCCATGCAGAACTGTGAGTCAATTAAAACCCTTTTCTTTATAAATTACCCAGTCTCAGGTAGTTCTTTACAGCAGTGTGAAAATGGACTAATACATCATTGATCATCAGAGAAATGCAGATCAAAACTACAATGACATATCATCTCACCCCAATTAAAATGGCTTTTATACAAAAGACAGGCAACAGCAAATGCTGGTGAGGATGTGAAGAAAAGGAAGCTTTCATATACTGTTGGTGGGAATGTAAATTAGTGCAACCACTATAGAGAACAGTTTGGAGGTTCCTCAAAAAAGAAAAAATAGAGCTACCATATGATTCAGCAATCTCACTGCTGATTACATACCCAAAAGAAAGGAAATCAGAATACGAAAGAGATTTCTGCAATCCCATGTTTATTGAAGCACTATTCACAATAGCCAAGATCTGTCTGCAATCTAAGTGTCCATCAACAAGATGAATGGTTAAAGAAAATGTGGTATATATACACAATGGAGTATTATTCATCCATAAAAAAAGAATGAGATCCTGTTATTTGCATCAACAAGGATGGAACTGGATATCATTATGTTAAGTGAAATAAGCCAGGCACAGAACGACAAACTTCACATGTTCTCCTTTACTTGTGGTAGCAATTAAAATGATTGAACTCATGGAGATAGGAAAATAATGGTTACTAGAGACTGGGAAGGGGTAGTGGTGGTGGGAGGGAGGGGGAATGTCAAATGAGTACAAAAATGTAGTTAGATAAAATTAACAAGACCTTGTACGTGACAGCACAATAGGGTGACTATAGTCAACTCTATTTTAAAATAACTAAGAGTATAATTGGAATGTTTGTAACACAAAGAATTGAAGTGATGGATACCCCACTTACCCTGATGTGATTATTACGCATTGAATGGCTGTATCAAAATATCTCATGTGCCCCATAAATACAAACACTAAGTACTCACAAAAATTAAAAATTAAAAGAAATGTTCTATATCCAACGTTTCTGAGTTAGAGAAACTAGAATTTTGGTCCATATTTCTTTCTGAAGGACCAATGTCATTTGCATTTAGAAAAATTCCTTTCAAAAGCAACTTAAAAGTTTTGATGCTGAAAAGATTCACTTCAGTTATCTGGAAAGCCCAGGCCCTGGGTCCAGGAAATTCGGAGGTGGTGACAGGGTTACTGGAAGGTATCACTGGTCTTGTTAACACTCACCTCACATGGGTTTCTTCAAAAACTTCCATGGTGTGTTTCTTGGAGAAAAAGGATGTGTCATCTCAGTTTCTTCTCACAGCTGCCACAGCCAGGGCATGGAGATGGGGCACAGCCCTGCCTGCTGGGGCCGTGGGTAGAGGAGGATGCTCCACTTAGTGGAAAATGCAAATGAATTCCACTAAGGCTCCAACCTTTGACTCTGAAAAGGGAAGTAGAATCATGGCCCAACAACTTAAAATAAAGAAGTGGGTGGCTTATAACAACTCTGAGGCTTCCAGGAAAAAGCCATTCTGAGTGTAAATAACAAAGAAGTCGAAGAAAACAGCCATGCCATCTGATGTGACTGCCTGGAAAACGAGGAGACACTAGCTCCCAGGGAAACAAGAGAGATGGCCTCTTTTACACATAACCCTCAGAAGCTTCTGCAGTCAGAAAGCCCAGCATGCAAATCCTTCCCTGGGCCATGAACATAGGAATGACCCAGTGTCCTTCCACACCACCAGGATTTAGATAATGATCGGTCCAACTCAACCGAGCCATTCTCTCATTGCAGTCAGATGGTCTTTCTAATGACAATTTTGATGATCATGATAGCACCATTTACTGACTGCCAACTGTGTGGCAGGCCCTTGACATGTATTATCTCAGAATTTTAAAAATGAGCTTAGAGGGTCTTGGCTTTTAGTGAAATAGAACAGAAAATATCAGAATGCATCACATTTGGGGAAAACAAATGTATTCATGTTTACTGGGTTAAAATGCATCATGTATTTCATACATCATATGGCGCTCGAAACTACATGAAAGCACCTGCTTGTTTGGAAGCATCTGTGTCTGACCTGACATGCACCAGGAGGTACATGCTATTACCGGTCCCAGCTTACAGAGAAGCAAATGGAGGAGCTGAGTGTTTAACTTGTCTAAGGTCACACAGCTTATGAGAAAGGATGCTGGGACTAGAACCCAACAGTCCATAGCCCACAACGGTATGTCACTTTTTGCTGCAATGCCTTCAAATGGTCCCCACAAGTCTTAGAATAAATTCACAAACTCCATCCTGGCAGCCTCACTTCTCACCACTCTGCAGTTCCACTCACTGGCATTCCTTCATGTCTTCTACCTGCACCTGCTCTGCCCCGCCCCAGGATTGTTCCGTGTGCTGCGGCTTCTATGTGAAATATTTCCCATCCAATTGTCCAGATTTGAACCTGCACCCCTTTTATAGCCCACCTTCACTTGCTCAGATCCACCCTCCTTTCTCCTTACCCCAATTAGTTTCCATTACCCCAGAGAGCACCCTCCCCACCTCCTTTGTAGTCTTGTCACAATCTGTCTAAATAAATAACTACAGAACTATTTGTTATGGCTTCGTGAGGTCCATAAGGGCAGGCACTATGTCATGTTCTCAGGTACATCCTCAGGGCTTAGCACAGGGCTCAGCGAAACAGGAATTCCACAGATATTATGTGAATGAGTAAATGAGCCGCCTGTGTGTGAGGCATCATTGCTGAGATACAGGAATCGTAAGCAGGTGTCGGCTCAGAACACCAACATTTAAAATTGCATGGGCGTTTTGGGAGACCAAGGAGGGTGGATCATCTGAGGTCAGGAGTTCGAGATCAGCCTGGCCAACATGACGAAACCCCGTCTCTACTAAAAATACAAAAATTAGCCAGATGTGGTGGCAGGTGCCTGTAATCCCAGGTACTCAGGAGGCTGAGGCAGGAGAATTGCTTGAACCCGGGAGGCAGAAATTGCAGTGAGCCAAGATGGTGCCATTGCTTTCCGGCCTGGGTGACAAGAGTGAACCTAGTCTCAAAAACAAACAAAAAAAAATTACATGGGCTTCACCATGTGTAAACAACATGGTACTGAAATCTGACTAACTTGGCTTCAAATCCAGCCTCTACAGCTTATTAGCTGGGTGACTTGCCTACATTCCTCATATGTTCTGAATTTCAGTGTCTTTGTCTGTCAAATGGTTGTAATGCTTATGTACATGTTACTAAGATGAAAATGAGATAACCTAGATCATAGCTTGACCCTGAGTAGGGGCCCAAAAAGCTATAATGAGTATTAGTATTTTTATACAACATTACCTTCTTCACAAAACCCTCCTAGGCTTCAGAAGGTGATGGGTGGTGGGGTTGGGGGAGAGCAGTCTGAATTAACTGCTGCGGAGGGAAATGTGACAAGATCTACCAAAGTGGCAAGGACCATACCCTCTGACCCAGCAATTCTATTTCNGAACCGGCCAGGAGCCTTGCATCAGCTGGAGCCTTCCAGGGGAGCCCTGCGGCGGAGCTAGGTGCCGAGTGCAGAGGTGGGCGTGTCCAACCTCCCGACGAGGCAACCGGCCCTACACAGAAGACACAGACACACGTAGAGAAGAAGGTGTTGTGAAGACAGAGGCAGAGACCGGAGTGATGCAGCCACGGGAGCTGACGAGAAAAGAAACAGATTCTTCCCTAGAGGGAGTACAGCCCTGCTCCACCTGAATTCTGCACTTTAGCCTCTAGGACCGTGACAGAATAAATTTCTGGTGTTTGAAGCCGTGAAAGCTGTGTTCATTTGTTATAGCAGCCGCAAGAAACTAATAAACTCACTGTGTGGCCGTGGACACCTCTGAGCCGCAGCTTCTACATCTGAAAAATGGGAATAGAAGAGTTACCTTGGAGAATTGTAATGACTAGAAAGATTTTCTATGAAGTACTTTGCATGGTTCCTGGAACTGTACAGGTGCTAGACACAGGTGCAGTGGAGGTTGAGAGAAAAGGCACCTGAATCAGGCTGGTGACATCACTTCCTGTAGGGCATTGAGCAGGTAATTTAGGATTTGCAAGCAATTGGATGAGATGACTCAAGTAGGGCTTAGAATACTCCTTGAACACAGCAAGTGCTTGATAAATGCTACCTATGGTTTCTTTTATGGCCTCCATTACTAATACCCCTGTATTAGCCTGTTCAAACTACTACAAAACAAAGCAAAACAAAACACCCTGCATGGCTTACACAACAGAAATTAATTTATTTTCTTACAGTTCTGGAGGCTAGAAGTCCAAGATCAAAGTGTCAACAGGATTGATTTCTTTTGAGGTTTCTCTCCTTGATTTACAGATGGTTGCCTCATAGCCATGCCCTCACATGATCTTTTCTCTGTGTACTCATGCCCTTGATGTTTCTCTTTATGTCCAAATTGCCTCTTCTAGGACACACATGCAAAAATGGAAAGACATTCCACGTTCACGGAATGAAAGAATCAATATTGTTAAAATGTCTGTACTATCTAAGGCAATCTATAGATTGAATGCACCACAACCAAAACACTAATGACATTCTTCACAGAAATGGAAAAAAAAATTCTAAAATTTATATGGAAGCACAAAAGACCCAGAATAGGCAAAGTCTTCCAGAGCAAAAAGAACAAAACTGGAGGAATCACATTACCTAACTTCAAGTTATACTACAGAGCTGTAGTAACTAAAACAGCATGGTACTGGCGTAAAAACAGACATACAGACTAATGGAGAAGAACAGAGAACCCAGAAACAAATCCATACATTTATAGTGAACTCATTTTTGACCAAGGTGCCAAGAACATACATTGAGGAAAGGATAGCTTCTTCAATAAATGGTGCTGGGAAAACTGGATATTCATATGCGGAAGCATGAAACTAGACCTCTGTCTTATATATAAAAATCAAATCAAAATAGGTTGAAGACTTAAACCTAAGACCGTATACTATGAAACTACTAAAAGAAAGCATTAGGGAAACTCTCCAGGACATTGGACTGGGCAAAGATTTCTTGAGTAATACACCTCAAGCCCAGGAAACCAAAGCAAAAATGAGCAAATTAGATCGCATTGAGTTAAAAAGTTTCTGTACAGCAGAAGATACAAATCAACAAAGTGAAGAGACAATCCATAGAATGGGAGAAAATATTTGCAAACTATCCTTCTGATAAGGAATTAATAACCAGAACATATAAGCTCAAACAATGCTTTAGGAAGGAAATATAATAATCTGATTTGAAAATGGGTAAAATATCTGAATAGGCATTTCTCAAAAGAAGACCTACAAATGGCAAACAGGTATATGAAAAGATGTGCAACATCATTTGATGTGATTTCATTCTGTGTCTCCACCCAAATCTCATGTCGATTTATAATCCCTGCCTGGCGCGGTGGCACGTGCCTGTAGTCCCAGCTACTCAGGAGGCTGAGGTGGAAGGATTGCTTGAGCCCAGGAGTTCTGGGCTATAGTGCATTATGCCAATTGGGCGTCCGCACTAAGTTCGGCATCAATATGGTGACCTTCCAGGAGTGGGGGACCACCAGGTTGCCTAAGGAGGGGTGAACTGGCCCAGGTTGGAAACGGAACAGGTCAAAACTCCCATGCTGATCAGTAGTGGGATCACGCCTGTGAATAGCCACTGCACTCCAGCCTGGGCAACATAGTGAGACCCTGTCTCTTAAAAAAGAAATAAATAAATAAATAATAAATAAATAATTAAAAAAAGAATTATAATCCCCATGTGTCAGGAGAGCAAACTGGTGGGAGGTGATTGGATCATGGGGCAGCTTCCTCCATGCTGTTCTCATGAAAGTGAGTGAGTTCTCACGAGATCTGATGGTTTTAGATCATCAGAGTGTGGCTATTCCCCCATCCCTCTCTCTCTCTTCCGCCCACCATGCTTCCCCTTTATCTTCCACCATAATTGTAAGTTTCCTGAGGCTTCCATAGCCATGCAGAACTGTGAGTCAATTAAAACCCTTTTCTTTATAAATTACCCAGTCTCAGGTAGTTCTTTACAGCAGTGTGAAAATGGACTAATACATCATTGATCATCAGAGAAATGCAGATCAAAACTACAATGACATATCATCTCACCCCAATTAAAATGGCTTTTATACAAAAGACAGGCAACAGCAAATGCTGGTGAGGATGTGAAGAAAAGGAAGCTTTCATATACTGTTGGTGGGAATGTAAATTAGTGCAACCACTATAGAGAACAGTTTGGAGGTTCCTCAAAAAAGAAAAAATAGAGCTACCATATGATTCAGCAATCTCACTGCTGATTACATACCCAAAAGAAAGGAAATCAGAATACGAAAGAGATTTCTGCAATCCCATGTTTATTGAAGCACTATTCACAATAGCCAAGATCTGTCTGCAATCTAAGTGTCCATCAACAAGATGAATGGTTAAAGAAAATGTGGTATATATACACAATGGAGTATTATTCATCCATAAAAAAAGAATGAGATCCTGTTATTTGCATCAACAAGGATGGAACTGGATATCATTATGTTAAGTGAAATAAGCCAGGCACAGAACGACAAACTTCACATGTTCTCCTTTACTTGTGGTAGCAATTAAAATGATTGAACTCATGGAGATAGGAAAATAATGGTTACTAGAGACTGGGAAGGGGTAGTGGTGGTGGGAGGGAGGGGGAATGTCAAATGAGTACAAAAATGTAGTTAGATAAAATTAACAAGACCTTGTACGTGACAGCACAATAGGGTGACTATAGTCAACTCTATTTTAAAATAACTAAGAGTATAATTGGAATGTTTGTAACACAAAGAATTGAAGTGATGGATACCCCACTTACCCTGATGTGATTATTACGCATTGAATGGCTGTATCAAAATATCTCATGTGCCCCATAAATACAAACACTAAGTACTCACAAAAATTAAAAATTAAAAGAAATGTTCTATATCCAACGTTTCTGAGTTAGAGAAACTAGAATTTTGGTCCATATTTCTTTCTGAAGGACCAATGTCATTTGCATTTAGAAAAATTCCTTTCAAAAGCAACTTAAAAGTTTTGATGCTGAAAAGATTCACTTCAGTTATCTGGAAAGCCCAGGCCCTGGGTCCAGGAAATTCGGAGGTGGTGACAGGGTTACTGGAAGGTATCACTGGTCTTGTTAACACTCACCTCACATGGGTTTCTTCAAAAACTTCCATGGTGTGTTTCTTGGAGAAAAAGGATGTGTCATCTCAGTTTCTTCTCACAGCTGCCACAGCCAGGGCATGGAGATGGGGCACAGCCCTGCCTGCTGGGGCCGTGGGTAGAGGAGGATGCTCCACTTAGTGGAAAATGCAAATGAATTCCACTAAGGCTCCAACCTTTGACTCTGAAAAGGGAAGTAGAATCATGGCCCAACAACTTAAAATAAAGAAGTGGGTGGCTTATAACAACTCTGAGGCTTCCAGGAAAAAGCCATTCTGAGTGTAAATAACAAAGAAGTCGAAGAAAACAGCCATGCCATCTGATGTGACTGCCTGGAAAACGAGGAGACACTAGCTCCCAGGGAAACAAGAGAGATGGCCTCTTTTACACATAACCCTCAGAAGCTTCTGCAGTCAGAAAGCCCAGCATGCAAATCCTTCCCTGGGCCATGAACATAGGAATGACCCAGTGTCCTTCCACACCACCAGGATTTAGATAATGATCGGTCCAACTCAACCGAGCCATTCTCTCATTGCAGTCAGATGGTCTTTCTAATGACAATTTTGATGATCATGATAGCACCATTTACTGACTGCCAACTGTGTGGCAGGCCCTTGACATGTATTATCTCAGAATTTTAAAAATGAGCTTAGAGGGTCTTGGCTTTTAGTGAAATAGAACAGAAAATATCAGAAT